ATTACACGCAGCATTCGAAGACTTCCTGACTCTTTTCAACTGGAGTTGCTTGGTGAACTCACTGCATCACTGTGGGAATATGGCATGCAAACTTGGGACATCGTTTGATCTACTCAAGGAGGTCGTCACTTCCTCCAGGAGTTGCAGTTGGAGCATTAGGTTGGCTACATGGCAGGTCACTCTGACCAATATGTCTCATGAGTGTGCGGAGCCTGTCAGCCTGTCCTTGAAATCTTCAGTGACGCAGACTGGGCTGCAGACAGAAACACCCGCAGATCAGTGTCTGGCAGTGCGATCTTCTATGGAGGATGCTTGGTGTACTCATCATCAAGGACTCAAAAGATCGTGTCACTGTCGAGCGCAGAATCGGACACACAGGCTGCTGCTTCAGCTGTCATGGATGCCATCCTCATTAGGACAAGACAAGACCATACGTTGTTGGGTGCTTCAAGCGCGCATTCTCATGTACTTGTACTTGGACTCATCAGCTGCACGTGGAGTTTGTCACGTCGAGGTGTTGGACGTCTAAGGCATTTGAGTACGCTGGCTCCAGAACTTAGTGGTTGAAAAGATGCTGCAAGTCAAAGCAGTTTTGGGAACAATCAACCCAGCAGATGTATCAACAAAGCGACTCTCAATTGCCAGGTTGGAATCACTGATGTACCTCTTTGGACTTTGGAGCACAGCGCAAAATCAACTGGTAGGATCAGATGACCCAAGCAGAATTTTCAGGCACTTTCCACAGCAATCAGCATCCAACCCAAGTCGCAATTCACAACTTCGAGTTTTGAGAGGCGCCTTGAGCCTGCTCACTGCTCACACTTCAACTCCAAGGGTGTGAAGCCATGTCAACCGACATGATGGACAGTCCGTATGTGTTCACAGCAACATGGATTGGACTTCTTGGTGCTTACTTGCTCTGGATGTCACAGTGCTCGAGAAGCAACAAGTGCACACCAGATAGCCCCAATTTTGGCTTTGCAGACGGATCTGATGACGCTGACACAGCAAGCGTCACATCCAATGCCACAGAGGACACAGATGAATACCCACCATTCTCACCCGAGGGAATGATTAGCTGGATGTTTGAACGATGTAATCGACGTCTTGAAAGTGCAATGGAAGCTGGAGACACCATACGTGCTCAAGCTTACAACCAACGTCGAGCTCTACTGGCAGATTTCATGAATTTCATCACAGCTGCAAATGACGATGAGAGGGATCAAGCCAATGACATGCTGCACACCATCGATGACATCAGCAGTCATGAAAGCAGCCCCACGAAAGATATGGATGAGAGAGGACAATAGGTCCAGAAGAATGAGAACGGGCCATCTGGCCATGATCAACCTGCAGGGCGCAATGGCCATGCAGCTACATGGGTGTGCAAGTGGCACATCTCCATCTACAGATGGTTCATGGTTCGGATTTGCTTTCTTGACGACATGGACTCTGCTCTTGATTGGATACTCATGGTACATGATGCGCTCTGGCAAGAACTTCAAGCATGTTCAGGTGCCGTTGTTTCCTGAGACGTTGAACGCGTTTGCAGAACCACAGGTGACTCATGAATATACCAGTGTTGAGGGTTTGGTGACTTGGACATTGGGTCGAGTTTGTGGACGTTTGAAGCGCGCAACTGAAGCTGGAAACATAGGTGCTGGAATGAAATAACAACAAATGCAACGATGGCTTGAAGCATGTTTACTTCATTTGCCAGATGCAAGTCTGGAGAATCGACAGGAAACTCTGGACTCCCTGAACGATGCGTATGAACTTTCAGAGGATGACAGCTCACCATCCTACAACTTGGGCAAGGTGGAGCGAGATTTCCTTGCCAACAGCCATGAGGAGGTTCACAGATGCCTTGTGAAACTCCTAGAGCTGCAGAAGGTCGAGACGACCACAGACCTTCTGGGAATCTTTGGTGAGATCTTCAGGACACCAGTCCACCCAGACTCTGATGAGTCGATGCATGAGGAGACTCAGTCTGAAAGGCTGACAAGATACAGAAATTCAGAACAGTGTGAAGTCAGCGACCCAGATGAATGGGCAGTGATCCACTACGGAACAGGAGCACATGAAACAGAAGACAATGATAGCACAGATGGAGTAGAAGAATTTTGAAGGGCGCCAAAGCCGTTGGAATCTAGTTTTTCAGGTGGCACCACACGAGATTGTCATGAGGATGAGACACAGGACTCTCATCATTGGCAACAGTGCCAATATGTCTCACAGCACAGTACCCCAACAGAAGCGACAAACTGGACTTAGACCAGTCCGAAGGGGTGAATGGACAGCAAGGTATCAAAGATACCAGCTGAGGTGGGGTGAAAAACATTTAACTCACTCTGCACCAGCTGTCTTGTGATGTACATTTGTCAGTTCATTGCAGTAACATGTCAGTTACAGCATGTTCACCTGAGAGCATATCGTTGAGGCGCTTTCGGTTGCAAAAAGATTTGCAAAAATCCTTAAAACGGGGGATTGTTATTTCACTTACTTCACTCCTCTTAAGCCTCCCTGCTTTTAAGACCCCCCCTAAATTTACTCTTTAGACCTCGTTGAAACTCTCAAACCATGTTCCGATGCAAGGTTTTTTTCTTGGATTTCTTAACCTGAATCAAAACACAATGGGTGATATGACGATATGATCTGATGTCCAGACATGCACCACCTACAGTTTGGAACATCGTGTGATGACGAAATTTGCGAAGGTAAATTGCAGAATTGACTTGAAATTTTCCAGACTATTCGTGATTATTTTGTTGTTCTCCTTTCCTTGCTCTTCCTTCTTGGCGTCGCCAATTTTTTTTTTGCTCCGTTGCTTGCCCATTCACACGTTTTGAAACACGTGCGTTGCCTACCGACAACTGTGTTGTTATGATGTTTGCTTGAAACCAGCATGTTGACCCGACACGGTCGTTGAACAAACTTTGTGGTCAACTGCTGAAAACTTGTTCGTTGCGGCATTCTTATTGTTCAGCCGCTAGACATTTTGCATTGCCATTTTTCCACTTCTGAAATTATTTTCCGTGTCATTACCTTGTTTTCACCTTCCACCACCACATTATGTTTCCACAAACAAATTGATGATGTGATTTTTTTTAGATTGTTGGTGCCTGTAAAATGTTCGAATATGTTCGAATTGATAATCCATGGTTGCCTTTTTTGTCACGAATTGCATGACCTAAATGATTTTTGTTGAAACTACTTCAATGACTTCAACTGTGCATGTCCATTGTTTTGGTTGCATTTCGTATTCTCTCGGATGCGTGCTTGTTGCTTGTTCTTTTTGGTTCACAGTTTGTCACCGCCTACGGTGGTCAAGGCTATGGTCTACCTGTTGCTGGGGGATGTCCAAAAAATCGCCGATGAGTGTGGTTTCCCACAGCACACTTTGGCCAAACATTTCCCATCACGTGGGTAATTTGGGATTTAGGGTGATTTCATGGGAATTCTGGGGCCTCATTGGGGATGATTATATAAATCGAAAAATGACCAATTAGTGGGTTCAAACAGGTACCTTCACTGCACAAATTTAATGTATTTTTTATTGGCAAATGATTTATGGTTCAAACTGATTTTTTGCTGGTGAAATTCAAATTTTGGCTGATTGATTTTTTGATTTTTGATTGCTAAATCCCCAGATTTTGATGGTGAAATCACCATGCCAGGCTTCGCCCACGTGCGTGCAGTTTGTTACGTTGCGAAGATGTCGGCCAAGAAGGCTGCGGATGAGGCAGAGATGAACGGTTTCTGAACGGGGCTGGGGGTGGAAACGGGGTGGAAAGGTGGGAACCCCCAAAGATCCATGGCTTATCCGTTTCCCGGTTCAAACTTGCCACTTTAGATGGAAATTGGTTCAATTTTGGACACAACCGAAAGCATTGAAAAGTAAGTGAATGGAATGTGACGTCAGGGTTTTTCCACAGGGTGGTTCTGAAATTTTTAAATCTGCCATCCAATTCGCCAACTGCTGCGATTTGGTTTTCGTAAAGTGGACTTTGGAAGACCCTCTTTTGCGTGTGGAAAGCCACTCCCAATGATCAGATTAGATCCTTTCTAACAGGAGAAGGACGCCCAGGAAGAGGAAGAGGCGCTGTGGCGAAAGCTGCCCCTTTGAATTGGTTTTGTAACGCCATAAATGGGGGTTTCCATAATAAATGGGGGATCCCCAGAATGGCTGGTTCAAATATTGGAAAATCCGAAAATAAAATGGATGATTTGGGAGTACTCTCCATTTTAGGAACCCTCTATTTGATTGGAATGCAGATAATCTGAGCAGGTTTCTGGTTGAAGATATTTTGTTTTTTCAAGCCAACAGCAGGGATGATCTAAACTGACAAATCATCTTGGGATGGATTGAAACCCAGCGGTCCACACGGGTATTTCCTGACCCAATTATCATTCATAGGCCCCATCACTGAATCAAGGATTGTTTTTCAGGGTTTCAGGGTAACTCCATTCATCCATTTTCCAGAGGAATGTCTTTGGAGGGTTTTACCCATCGAGAAAAGGAAACAATTTTTCACCAACTTTTGCTGGTGATGGAATCTAGATGACGCTTGAAACTTCTGAAGTACATTCCATCCACTCATTGCTCTTGCCACTCAGAAGTTTCACTGCATTTTCTGGTCCAAACCTTTATTTTCCCCCGGATCGCCCCATTTTTTCCAGGAGTTGTTTGTGGGAGACCTGGTGAAGATCAGTGGGGTCAAGGCCGATGTGTCCAAGGCCGGGTGAAGAGCAATCCTTGGTGATCGATCATGAGTTTAAGCACCGAACCTGGGATAATGATAGAAATGGGCAAAATATACTCAGAATATCTGTGGATCATTCTTTTGGGTTGGCTGATGATGCTGATGGTGACATTCGGATTGACTGCGGCGTTTTTTTTCCCACCGAAGCCGTTGTGAAATCCTGGCCTCAGCAGCCTGGCAGCCTGGCAGCCGCATCGCCAGGCTCTCGGCGATGTGGGCCTGCAGTGGGAGGCCTCCATGAGCACTTTCCTGGGGCAAACTGGACGAGTGAAGACCGTTCAGATGAAGGAGGGCAAGCAGGTCGTAGAGGCCTGAAACTTGGCCTGACTTGTCTGGCATAAATGGAACAAGTGGAACGGGATACGACCCATTCAACTTGTGCTCCCAGTGATGAATCGGCCACCACATTTTTCAGAAACATAAAGAAACCTCTTCAACTGGTGGCTCTTGCAGCAGTTTCTGGATGTTTCTGGATCATTTCCATTTTGCCAGAATGGTTTTCTTGGTTAGTACTATCTCTACCTTTTGCAAAAGTGGAAAGTTGGGGGCTAAAGTTCTTCACAATTTTTGCATTTTTGACATCTCTGGCTTGGCCTGTTCTGAGAATTCCAATCCACTGATTCTCAATTTCCTGGAACGATCGGGATTTGCTTGTTCAGACGTCTTGGACCTTTTTTTTGGTTGAACATGACCCACATCCCACCGGAACTTTGATGGGAGAGTCTTTCAATCTGCATGGATGGAGTTGTTGCCGAGCAAGGCATGATCCGTGGACTTGATGTGGCTGGGAACTGTTTTATAATCCCCTTCAGGTGGAAAATCTTGGGTATATGTATATATATATTTATACATATATAGATAGTAGGATATACACCACTTACTATTATCAACTGGATTCATTGATCATTTGTGGTCATCTTCACGTATTTTGCTGCTTCTCTTAGTTCTCTTCCCCACATTTGCTCCCATAGATCGGCCAGGTGCAGTTAGGATCTGCTGATGGGCCAAGCTTCGCCGTAGGTGTTGCAGCCTTGGAACTCCTGGGAGATGAGGATGAAGAAGATGAGGACCAACCTTCACGGCGGGGGATCTGTCGTTTGAGCCATGATTTTTTTCCAAAATGGCATCGCTTGGCGCTGGAGATGCGGAAGACTTTGGGAAATTTTCTGAAGCAAAACATGAGGCATGTGACGGCATGTGACGGCACCTAATAGATTTGGTTTGATTTGTGGAATCAGAAGTTACGACACACATGGGATGATGATCACCCCACCCCATCCCCGCTTTGATTGCACGGTTGCACGGTTGCACGGGTTTCGGTTGAGCAAGGTCATTTCCCCCTGTCGCAGAACCCAGGAGGATGTTGAAGTGGATCAGAATGAGGAGGATGAAGCTGAGGATGGACACGTGTATCGGGTCAACGAGAATCTTGGCCGGGCCATACCTGACCGGTTGATTGATGAACATCCAGATGTGCACCATCTATTTTATGCAGAGGAGCTATGATTGATACCCCATTTTGGGACCCGCAATTCTTAGCCTACTACCTGAATTCGAAATGGAAGTGACACGCTGTGTGAGTTGTCTTTGCCTGGTCATCTTTGCAAATGCGCCAACGACCCATTCTTACCAACAGCATGATGACTATGCAGTGTCACAACTGAGTCACAACATGACCTTTGCTATGCTCCTCCGAAGTTCCGCTGGGTATGTTTCACCCAAGCATGTCTCACCCTACTTTTCAACGCACAAGGAAAGTAAGAGATCTGACAAAGCCCAAAGGTAAATGTGCCACTGGCATAGCTACTTGGCCAAACTCCCGGTGATCCAGCGGTGAAGCTTATGTGATATTCACTCTGGGTGCATTTGCTGCATTGACACAAAGTGCCCATGTCACAATAAGAAGGTTGGATGGTATTTCGTGGTGTATTTCATGGTATCCTTCTGAGTTTCAAAAAACCACCCCGTTCTGAGGGCCCGGAGGGAGAGTCGTTCCACTGCAGCCTCAGGTGACGAAAGTGTCTGATCAAGGCACTTGCGATGCAACTCTGGCGACAATCTGTGTGGTTCAAATTGGGCACCACAAAATCATCCCAAATTGGTCAGGTTGAATAGGGAAACCCATCATTTCTGTCCACTGAAATAGACCCTCTGAAACGATGCTGCAGGGCTACTGAAGTGTTGCTGGCAACATGGATCACTCCTTTGATGAGCCAACCCCCAGGTGACACATGTTTATGCCAGACCTGGGAACTGTGTCTATGTAGGATTGTACTACATGATTTGTTTGGGTATTGTAATAATGTAGACTTATAACCTACTGTGGGAATGCCAATGATACAACTGACCAGTTTTCAAGGCATGACAGAAAATTTTGGGACAAGTCCAGGTGAAGTATGATGACGGCGGCACTCGAACTGGCATTCCGCTGAAACAATTGCGGCCGCTGGAAAAAGCTGAATCTGATGGCACTGGTCTATCCTACACGTCTTCGCACAACGCAGCTTCTACAGCAGTTGGGATTTGGTTGACATTGAAGGTTCATGGTTGATCATCATACTCCAATGCAAACCAAGAATCTGGAATCTTCTTTTCAGGACTTGCTGTACTAGTATATAAGAGCCTCTAGGGTAGACAAATCAGCCACCTGCACTGGCTTCTAAACCCGCTAATTCGCCGATGTTCGAAGTGTTTGATAACCATCTTGGCGCTCTCAACCATAATCTGTTGGAAGCTGTGGTTACCAGGTCTTAAATCGCCTAGACCTTGACGATTTGAAGGTCGGGTGTGTGGTGGTCGCTAGGAAGGTCACTGCCAACCTTCCCAGCCGATTTGATGGTAAATGAACAACACAAACAGATGGATTTCCACTTCAATCAATCCATTGATAATTCCTTGAATCTCCTTGTTGCTATTTGAATCATCATTTCCCTTGCAGTGAAAAATCACCATCTTAGCATATAGAAACGCCTATTTTCAGTGATGAATGCTCAGTTTACATGTCGTAGCCTCCAGTCAACTAAGATAAACGCTGAACATTTACCATTTGTAGATCAAATCCACAGGGGAAACCATGGGATGTTCGATCTGGTAGATCTGGCCCCTTTGCTGAGGAGTTCGACTTTACCACGGGTCAGCTGCCCACCGGGGTGGAGGCTGTGGGCGAAGGTGTTGAGCTGAAGCCGGGCAAGGGCGGCGAGACGTATCTGGTGATGCGCAAGGGAACCTATCTGAGGCCGGATTTTGGACGAGGAGTAAGGAGAAGGAGCTTGAAATACTGGGAAGACGTTGGAAGACGTTGGAAGATGTTGGAAGATGTTGGAAGACGTTGGAAGATGTTGGAAGATGTTGGAAGACGTTGGAAGATGTTGGAAGATGTTGGAAGACGTTGGAAGATGTTGGAAGATGTTGGAAGACGTTGGAAGATGTTGGAAGACGTTGGAAGATGTTGGAAGATGTTGGAAGACGTTGGAAGATGTTGGAAGATGTTGTTGGAAGATGTTGAAAGACGTTGGAAGATGTTGGAAGATGTTGGAAGATGTTGGAAGATGTTGGAAGACGTTGGAAGATGTTGGAAGATGTTGGAAGACGTTGGAAGATGTTGGAAGATGTTGGAAGACGTTGGAAGATGTTGGAAGATGTTGGAAGACGTTGGAAGATGTTGGAAGATGTTGGAAGATGTTGGAAGATGTTGGAAGACGTTGGAAGATGTTGGAAGATGTTGGAAGACGTTGGAAGATGTTGGAAGATGTTGGAAGATGTTGGAAGACGTTGGAAGATGTTGGAAGATGTTGGAAGACGTTGGAAGATGTTGGAAGATGTTGGAAGACGTTGGAAGATGTTGGAAGATGTTGGAAGACGTTGGAAGATGTTGGAAGATGTTGGAAGACGTTGGAAGATGTTGGAAGATGTTGGAAGACGTTGGAAGATGTTGGAAGATGTTGGAAGACGTTGGAAGATGTTGGAAGATGTTGGAAGACGTTGGAAGATGTTGGAAGATGTTGGAAGATGTTGGAAGATGTTGGAAGATGTTGGAAGATGTTGGAAGATGTTGGAAGATGTTGGAAGATGTTGGAAGATGTTGGAAGATGTTGGAAGACGTTGGAAGATGTTGGAAGATGTTGGAAGACGTTGGAAGATGTTGGAAGACGTTGGAAGATGTTGGAAGATGTTGGAAGATGTTGGAAGATGTTGGAAGATGTTGGAAGATGTTGGAAGATGTTGGAAGACGTTGGAAGATGTTGGAAGATGTTGGAAGACGTTGGAAGATGTTGGAAGATGTTGGAAGACGTTGGAAGATGTTGGAAGATGTTGGAAGACGTTGGAAGATGTTGGAAGACGTTGGAAGATGTTGGAAGATGTTGGAAGACGTTGGAAGATGTTGGAAGATGTTGGAAGACGTTGGAAGAGGTTGGAAGACGTTGGAAGATGTTGGAAGACGTTGGAAGATGTTGGAAGATGTTGGAAGATGTTGGAAGATGTTGGAAGACGTTGGAAGATGTTGGAAGACGTTGGAAGATGTTGGAAGAT